AAGAGAGTAGGTCGGCCAAGGAGTGGCGCGCTCCCCCCCCTAGCCCAAACCGAATTGGACTAGAGTTGGGGGGGGGCCTTTCCTTCTCTCCTCCTTCTCCTTCTAGGAATAGGAAAGAGGATGGGAATCCTACTTAGACTAGGGAGTCCTAGTAGCATTCCCCACACCTGGCGCGCCCTCCTTGGGCTGGCCACCTCTTCCCTCCCCTCCTTTATATACGTGGACAAGGGCACCCCATAGACACACAAGTTGATCTTTTAGCCGTGTGCGGTGCCCCCCTCCATAGTTACACACCTCAGTCATATCGTCGTAGTGCTTAGGCGAAGCCCTGCGCCGGTAACTTCATCATCACCGTCACCATGCCATCGTGCTGACGGAACTCTCCCTCGGCCTCAACTGGATCAAGAGTTCGAGGGACGTCACCGAGCTGAACATGTGCAGATCGCGGAGGTGCCATACGTTTGGTACTTGGATCGGTTGGATCGCGGCGACGTTCGACTACATCAACGACGTTACTAAACGCTTCCGCTTTCAGTCTACGAGGGTACGTAGACATACTCTCCCCGCTTGTTGCTATGCTTCTCCTAGATAGATCTTGCGTGATCGTAGGCAAATTTTTTGAAATACTACGTTCCCCATAGAGGCAACCCTCCTCTGGCAAATTGCCTGGCACCGGGTCGCCCGTCAGGAGCTCGTACACTGTCCCGGCGCTTCGGAGGGAAGTGCTGGCACTTGAAGCCTCATGGGGTCCCTGCAGCCGGAGAAGGTCCACATCGGCTGAGATTGACGCTGGAGCGGAGCAATGCAGCATCAGACGAACTCCTTCACCACCATGGACGTCGTCACCCCGAGATCCTTCAGCCTGGCCAGCCGGCGCCAGGCATGGGTGAGCCGCTAGCCGACAAGCCTTGCATGCCCCCAACCAGAGCTAGGAGTGGCCGGTGCCCGTGGGAGCAAGAGCAAGGGGCAGAGCACACCAACATCCACAAACACCCATCGCTTCCGAAACCCGCCTACGACTGCTGAGAGCTCGAAGTCAATCCCCGAGCCGGCCATTGCCGCTTCAGCCTGGAAGGTTACGCACCCCGAGCACTGGCGGCCATCGGTCAGGTGAAGAGAGAAGAAATGGTGAAACAAGGCCACGGAAGGGGCAATGCCCACCATGGCCTCGCAGACGAAGGCGAAGACAGAGAGGAGAATGATGGATTGGGGATCCAGATGCAGCGCATGGATTTGGTAATGCGAGAGCACGACGTTGAAGAAAACAAGGAAATGGGGAATCAGGTCGGCCCAGAGGGCATGAAGATGGATGGGGATCTCAATGGCTGTCATATCAACCATGGCGCCAGAAGCAGGCCAGACCACCGTCGCCCCATTCGTTGGAATCGGAGGCGAGCGCTGGTCGAACCTTGTCCAACCCTTCCTGATTGACCACCACCGACCGCTCAATGGCGGGCTCGAAGGCCGGTGGCGATTCCACCGGAGCGCAGGTTTTCCCCTTTCCCTTCTTCTTCGGGCGCGGCGCCATAGTGATAAGGAGGACCGGTGCCGGGGTCAGACCAGGGGAGGAAGCATATATCTCTCCGGAAGGCAAAGAAGCAAGGGGAACACACATCAAGGCAATGAGAGCGGAGATGTGTTGGCAACGGCGACCGCCAGGCCGGCAAATATCAAGGTTGCATGGGGAAAGTGGGGGCGCCCACGTCCCATCAATCGCCACGCGTCAACCGAGGCCGCAGGCGGTTGGGGCCCGCGACGCTCCGCACTTGCCCTTTGGCTTCGCCTTGAAGCCAAGTTCAAGCGCGCCTTGGGCCCGGGGCTATTGTCGGCGTTCTGGGACCGGGGGTGCCCAGACTTGCCTGCCCGCGGCCCGTGGCGCGGCTCCATCGGCGGCCCGGTACGGCCCAGCTTCAGCAGCAACAACTCAAGACCCTCGCGAGGCGGACGACATCAAGACCACCTTGGGGGCAGCCTCGCTAGGCTGGCTCCCGAGGAACAGAGATATCAATGCAGGGTGCACCTCACGAGGTTCGCGTGACGTGAGCCATGACGACCAAGGCCAGGCGGGCGCCAGCGGGCGCAGTGTACCAGTTTCCTCTTTCGTGCTAAGGAGGAAAGCGTAGGCACGAGGTCCCGAGGCATCAGACAAAGGTTTCCATATCGGTGCAACAAGACCAAGACCACCAGGACTGCAGGACGGAGGTCGTCCGGAGCCCACTACAGCGTCACCACCAGAGCCTTTGTAGGCGAAGACTACTTTAGTGAGGATAGCTTGTACTAGTTGTCCCCTTCAAACTTGGCCGTTGTGGGATCCCTTCCCGCCTAACATTTAGGAAGAAGACCAAGACCACTATAAATAGGACTTAGCCACCATCGTAAGATGGATGGATCATTCTGACCATCCCCACACCCACCAGCTCTTCGAGCTCAAGAACACCTCACCTCCTGAGACTGTTCATTCACTGTACTAGTTCATTCTCAGCCCTTCGAGACAATCCATCACAAAGCTGGAGTAGGGTATTACACCGCAAGGTGGCCCGAACCAGGATAAATCTCTGTGTCTTTCATTTTTTGGGTTCGTTGAGTTAGGCCATAGGATCATTGAGCAGGCGGGCTAGGAAGAAAGAGTTCTTCGTGCACACCCCAGAGTTCGAACCTCTCAAGGGTATGCGGAACCCGTAATCCGACAGTAGCTTCAAGAGTAATATAAACTTCAACTCAGCAAAATTGTCTATGTGGTATTGAGTTAACGAGGAGAGAGGCAAATCGAGTAACTTAGCCAGTTACCGTAACATCACATATCCCAATATAATATGAGGCTATAATCTAATAAATGAAGATTTGCATGACACCGCACTAATATTACTACCCACTTTAAAGATAGTAACATAGGTGACGATATATATGTTACTATTGAAATTACTTCTCCTCTATGGCTAGTCTCAAGCAGTGGTTGTTCTCATTGCATGAGCACAACACACTTACAACTTTCCTGATGTGAATATGATCTTCCCCAATTTTATCTTCAAGATAATATCCTCTTGAGATTTTGCCATCCACGCCAATTTCCCACAAGAAGATCAACAACAACGCATGATCACCACCGATGAATTCATGAGCGATCCAAGAGAGCCAAGACGTCGAGGCTGAGCACACTGCATACCCACAGGGCGGCAGCAGCACCGGTACGGGCTCGCGACACGGTACACCGAATACCTGGACGAAATAAAGGTGACATAACTGGCGCCGTACCGCTGCCCACTGCTGCTCCTGCGCGCGGCAGCGGCACCGGCATCGGATCCGCTCCGCTCCGGCCGCGTGTTTGGACATGGTGCCATGCCGAGGCGGAGCGACGAAACACGGACGGGTGAAAAGCAGAGCAAAAGATGGTGCGCGCGCCTGTGGGAATCGGCGCCGGTGCCAAGTGGAGTAACTCCTCACTCCACCTGTTCCATTTCTCTGAAACGGCTACCTACTGCTCACCAATAGAAGCAAGAAAACTCTAGAGAGAGAGAGGCGGAGGCCGTAGCTCGGGAAAGCGACGCGGCGCGCGCGCGCCCACAGACGCCCACACAGGCACATTGTCACGTACAAGTAGGCTATAGACAGGGTCTATCCCTACGCGGGGGGGTCACAGGCTATGCGTTGTGAACAGGACCCCGTGGTCCGCTGCCTGCTTGTTTCCGAGTCCAAGGATGACTCGTCGTCGTGATAAAGGAAGGAGCGCCCCCGCAACCGCAACCGCAACCCCAACCCCCCTCTCTCTTTCTCCTTTCCTTTTCCCTGCTATATATACACCGCACCGGCACGCCACACCCGTCAGCAAGCAACATTAACTCACTTGTTGAGCTCCACACTCCAGCTCCAGCGCAGCCGCAGAGTGCAGAGTGAGTGAGTGGGCATGGGCGAGGAGGCCAATTGCGACGCCGTGATGGAGGACGGCAACGGCAACGGCAACGGCAAGGCCAAGGAGAACGGCCACGCCACAGCCGTTGTGGCCATGCCGGACGTCAAGGCCAAGGCCGAGGACGCCGTGGTGGCGCCGGGTGACCCCCGCCTGCAGGGCATCTCCGACGCCATCCGCGTCGTCCCGCACTTCCCCAAGCAAGGTAGGTCTCGACTCTTGAATCTTGATCCATCCAGCAGCGCAGCGCACGACCGACATAAAACTTGCTTGTTGGGTGGCATCGCAGGCATCATGTTCAACGACATCACGACGCTCCTGCTGCGGCCCGGGGTGTTCAAGGACGCCCTGGACATGTTCGTGGAGCGCTACCGCGGCATGGGCATCGCCGCCGTCGCCGGTAAGTAACCCACCCGTCCCTCCTTAGTAGTAATTCCCCCATGCATGTACGTAGTACTAGTAGGAGTACTTGTCTAGCTAGCTGAGCTGTTGTATGGATCAACGCTCCGTCCTCTGAAGGCAAGAAGAGGCAGAGGGTGGTAGAGAGGAGAGGAGGGCTGGGCTGAGCTGTTGGCAGCGTAGTGTAGTGTTGTGAGATTCCATCCATTCCGTAATATCTTTGAGGGAGATCTCCCGTGGTCCTTTTGCTCCCCCATGCTTGTCGTCGCCCGGGTGCGCTTTTTCGCATCGCTCTACTCACCCGTCCGTCGCCTTTTCTCGGGAGGACAATACTATCATATACTAGCAGCCACAATAATAGTCCCACGCCACTGTTCCTGCTGGCTAAGCTTTGCCACACCCTTGATCTTATTCTTAGTAGAAGATGTGCCACTACCAAATCCCTAGGAGTACTACTGTGCATGTGAGTAGGAGTTGTGGCGGTCACGGTTGGTAATGGCGTGGTGGTAAAACTAAAACGGTGCTGCGTCGGCCGTTTCCGGTCACGAGGCGAGGGCTGCCTACCAAAACGGAAAGTCGGGCGTCTGGTACGTTGTGCATGTGGGGGGTATGGTCTTTTATGCTCCATTTCCATGGCCATATGGTCGATCTCTCATCGGGGCGTGCTCAAAAGCTCCATTTCTCTCTCTCTCTCTCTCCCTCTCTCTCTCTCTCTCTCAGGAATCGGCAGGTGAGCTGCTCACTAGTACTAGCACTATAATTATCAGGTCAGAACAAGAAGGCTCCTTTTTTTTCATGGTTTTTTTTTTTGCGCGAGTGGTGTTGTTTAGAGCTGGAGGAATGTATGACCGCCCCGACCCGGGCCGCGCAGAGTGCGTGCGTGCCGGAATGTTTGGCACATGACGCGGTCGCGCTTCTCCGACTTCCGGCTTGGTTTTTTCAAAGGGCGGTCACGAGTCGGGCCGGGCGGATCTGCGGCATTCAATAGCGTATCCGGGGCGCATGTAGAAGCCCTGGCACGGGCAGATCTCGCGGCCAGCGAGGGGACCAGGACCAGGTCCCCCGTGGTCCGACGGCCGCGGCCGTGTCTGCCGGGGATCGGACGGTGGGTGGCCGCGGTACACCGTTTGCTCTGAGGTCATGCATGTGGCCAATCTGCCGTCGTTTTCACGGGAAAGTACTGCTTCTCAGATTTTGCTTTGTTCCTTTGTTGGATCCTCTGTCTGCTTTGCTTCTCCGATTCCTTGCTGGTCCTGGATTTTCCATTCTGTTTCCTCATAACCTCTCCTCTCCTCCTCTTTTCTTCATATTACTAGACTATAGGCTAGACTAGAGTATCTTATTCTCGACTAAATGGAGTTATTATGTTGTGTCTCATCATCTTATTATACTAATACTAAGGATTATTTTAGATGTGTTAGCCCAAGTGTAGGAGCATTCTTCTGACTTGTTTGTTTCCATCCATCCTTCAGGGATTGAGGCGAGAGGATTTATATTTGGCCCCGCGATTGCACTAGCCATCGGTGCCAAGTTCATTCCGTTGCGCAAGCCTAAGAAACTCCCAGGTGAGCTCCCCTCGAAAAGGTTCCTTTCTGCATAATTGCCATGCTCTGAAACCTGTTGCCATTTGTCTATTCAGCTGTGCAATAACGACCTTAGTTGAGTAATTTTTTTTATCTTTTTTCTCGCGCGAGCAAGTAAAACTGGTAATCTGGAAGTAAATGAACTTTACACACACACGCATACACAAAAAACATTGTCAGCCCCTTTATGCAGCAGCGCGTGATGAAACCTGAAGAAATTTGCAGACATTCAGTACCATCTCCCTTTGCAGTTTCCAGCACATGTTCTATTACTTTTTTTTAAATGCTTGCCGAGGCATGGGCAGGAGCTCTGCCATTTCATATTTTCATATAAGAAGAAAAGAGTTGCCCGGTTAATTTGAGGAAAACCGGGCGAACACCAAATTATTACAGACACTAAAGACAGAAAAAGAAAACTAGAGGTTGGTGGCAGGGTTTAGACAAGATATTGTGTGGCCAATTTAAAGTTTTTCTGCAAACCGCAAAAATTAAATAAAACTGAAGTATTTTTGCAGCACACTGATGCGCTAACATTTTCTTTTACGAACATGAAAGGTGAGGTGATTTCTGAGACCTATGTTCTCGAATACGGAACTGATTGTCTGGAGATGCATGTTGGTGCTATCGAACCCCGTGAGCGTGTTTTGATAGTTGATGATCTGGTTGCAACTGGTGGGACACTTTGTGCTGCTATAAATCTTCTGGGTACGTATCACATACCTTTCAAGTACTCCGGCCATTTTCATTTACTTTGATCAAGTTTGTATATAGAAAATATTGACATCCATAATAGTAAATCAATATCATTAGAGTCTGAATATATTTTCATATCATATGTATTCATTATTATGAAATTTATGTTATTGCCTATAAACTTGGTCAAACACTACAAAGTTTGAATTAGTAAAACCTAATATGCGGAATAAATAAAAACGGAGGGAGTATAATATTATGCATCCCCTGCAGCCTTGACCTGTACTTGCATGGTAATTTCAAACCAAATGCGACTAAATAGTACAACCTCTGTTCATTAATATAAGACTTTTTTTGGACTTATGGTCAGTCTAAAAAACGTTTTATATTAATGGACAGAGGGGATAACTGTGAATTTGGTAAGGAATCCAGACAGAATACCTTGCATTTGATCACTATTTGCTTGGGTAATTCGTATGGATGCCATTTTATTTAGTTGTCTGTTACTTGTGCAACTTCAGAGGTTATACTCTTTCCACTGGCACATTCAGAGCACATTATTCACTGACCGGTGCAACAGTTAATCAGTCAATTCTCGTCTTGTTAGCCCGTGACACATTTGCAGAACTGAAGGCACCAGTGCATGGCAGACCGGTAGTTGCTTAGTAGTAGGAGTATCAGATTCAAGTATCTTATCAAGTGGAGTATCACTTGTCTTGAAACTGTACCACACCCTGCACATCTTTTACCACCCTAATTAATCTAATCCACAACGGCATCAGCACTGTCAGAAACAGCTTAAATAATCCCTGGAATGCAATAGACTAATTGGATTCTCATGTACGGATGGCAGGCCTCCATACAACTTGGTGCTAACTGATACTGACCTATATATATATATATATATATATATATTAATTAGTATGAAATCTTCCGTAATGGGACATGCTTTATATCTTGGCAAGATCTCTCCGGAGAGAATCTTGTTTGAAGATATGTCCTGGTACAAATTGATGTGGAAGCATGATTTGATGTTGACACTACATGTTTTGGGGGCTTCAATCACAGAATCAAGTACTCTCGCCCAGAATGCTATACTATCTTTTCAGCTGCACCTTTCCTTGTCTGCACTTACTCTGACGCTGTCATGCCATTAAGCATGCGTCTTTTTTAATAGTATTTTGCACAACCTTGTTTCTAGAACGCTATGCTGCCTTTTGGATACTTTTCTAGATGAATTTTATCTTGCACTGGTAAAAAGTAGATAGGTATTTTTTGAATACCTTTTCTACCTTTTCTTACCGAACAGTTTGATTTCCAGAACGTGCTGGAGCTGATGTCGTTGAGTGTGCTTGTCTCATTGGGCTCCCTAAATTTAAGGTATTTCGTCTTTCTACACATGAATCAGATATGGTACTATCCAAAGTGTCGAATGGCGTCTGAATCTGATATATACACATATTATATTTCTGCTTCTTCTCTCTCACAACTCGTAGTATTTGTTAGCAATTCTCATTCGTTTACTGCTCTGTCTGAAGCCTAAATTACACTGTCACCGGATTTGACCACTTGAAAATCGCATAGTTCTTGGCCTGTGCACCTTTACTAGTTTGCTCAGATACTGTCTGCTCTGCCCACTTCATATAGCCTGTTGGCGCCATGGTAGCTTCAGACAGTGGCGTCAATGGTTTGTTTCCACAAAAGGCGGCCATGAACAAACATGACCGACCATGTCTATTCCTCAGTCACAGCTGAGATAAGTACCAGCTGATTATCCATAGGCTAACGTGAATAAATAATACCAGTATTGGTCAAGGAATGGGGACTTGCATCACACAATTTTATTTAGCGGCGGTGCATCCTGTGGTGCTCATGTTGCAGAATAAGTGATGCACCTTACTAGATAGCGGATAGAGATCATGTGGCATCAAATGCCTGAGGACAATGTGAAAGAAGCATCAGGAACCATTCTTTAGTATTCGCTGTCAATCTTACACCAGTCACTGCAGCTGCTTGAAAAGTTTTCCATTGAGTGTATCTGAATTAGCGAATTATCCTACTAGCTTGTAGTCCCTCCGTCCGGAAATACTTGTCCAAAGAATGGATGTATCTAGATGTATTTTAGTTTTAGATAACCCATTTGTATCCATTTTTATGACAAGTATTTCCGGACGGAGGGAGTAGTAAAAGGTGTTGCTTGAATCTGGTCAGTGGTCACTGAGACAGCAACTCTACCCCGTGCAGGATTTTTACAAGCTCAACGGGAAGCCTGTCTATGTACTGGTGGAGTCTCTGGAATATGAAAAATAAGAAACCGGTGACCAGGTGAGGTGAGCCTCTCTCTCAGGCCACTTTTCTGTTCTTGCAAACCCCTGAACCTGAACTCAGTATCGAGTGGTACCGTGCTCACATCTGGTCCTTTTTTTTCCCTCAGGGACGCATCATGGCTTCATCCTGCTGCGGTAGTATTAGGGAGTGGGGGAGGTTAGGGAGCGGTACGTGAATGGATGGGTGTAGTCTTTGTAGGCTGAGTGGTTTCTTCAACTGTACTGAAGAGCTTCTTCCTTGTGCTCGGGAGAAATGATCGTTAGCTGAGACGCGAGTCCTGTAGTTCCATTATTATCATTGGTTATTATTATTAATTGTTTCGTCCTGGGCGATCCCGTGTACGTTAGGGCCGGCCAAAGCGTCGTGCATGTCGTGTCGTACGTCTCATGCATGCATGCATGCGGGGATGCGCTGCCCTGCTTGCTTTCAGCGTCGATCGTGGCAGGGCAAGCGACGTGTTTTGTCTTGTCACGTCGATCGGACCGGCGGCAGGCAGGGCTTGCCGGCCGGTCAGAGCCTACAGCCTACAGGAGTCGTTCTCCGGCTAGCTAGCCTGTCGTACGGCTCAGGCGTGTCGTACGTGAAGTTGTTGCCGGCGGTGCAGCGGTGGTAGCTGCATCAACCACCATGACTTTTCTACCGTCAGACTGGATCTGAACCTGTGGCGCGGCAGCGTTGCGTGTTGCGAGACAACTATATCAGGTTGCGTGGCAGCGTTGCATGTTGCGGTATATTTCTTTTTTAGACGCGTCTAGCGAGCAAACGGCTGCTGGCTAGCGCTTCCGAGCAGTCGGTCTTTTTATGAAAATTATTTGTCTCCTTCATCTAGCAAAGACTTTTATGATTTCAATTGGCTAAACGGAAACAATCAATCAACCGTGCATTAAATGATCCACATGCATTTAGTTGTGGCTTTTTTCATGCATGGTATGGACGACTTCCTACCGTTTAATTCATGATTTATAAATTTTGAAAAGCCATAACTTTTAAATCATGGATCCGAATTAAGATTTGTTTTCATTGTTGAAATCCTTGCGACGTGCTCTTCAAAACTAGATCTCGTATGAGTATGTTTTGATAGAATATTTTTGTGCAATTTTAGTCCTTGTTTTATGCAACTATCTAGCAGCGGTGTGCAACTAACTGTAGTGGATGTGCAACTTTGCACCTACCCCGTGGACGTGCAGTTTTTACTGATGGCACCTCCATCCCCAAACTACCCCCTTCCAGTGAGATGTGCAACTTCGTCTCTTGCCCTGGCCAACTGTATAGTAGTTTGACGTGCAAATTTCCCCCCTACTCATGGATGCGCTTTCACTATTTACTACATCGGCCAACTGCCTAGCAGTAGATGTGCAACTTCATACGCTGCCATGGCGAAACTGTCAAACAGTGATGTGCCTCTTGTATCCTTCGTGGAGGTGTAGTTTCTCTGCTAGCACCCGGTCCACACCACCCCTATTAGTGAGATGTGCAACTTTAGCACCCTACCTATATGCAACTTTTCACTACCCTTATGAATGTGGAGTTTCACTATCCAGCTATCCCAGGATGTGCAACTTTGTATGTTGCCCTGGCCAACTGCCTAACAGACTATGTGCAACTCTGTCTGTTGAACCCGCCAACTAAAACTATGTATCAACAAGTAGGGAAAGGAAGGAGTTGCATATCGACTAATAGGCAGTTGGCGTGACAAAAAGACTAAATTGCACAAACCAATGATAGGGGGTGGGGCAGGGTGTGCCAAGAGTGAAAAACTACACGTCCACTTGTAGGGAGGAGGGTTGCACATGGACTACTAGGTAGTTGGACCGGGCAGTAGACTAGTTGCACAGATTGTCATAATTGTTAGGTTGCAACCTCATAGAAAATATGATCATGCGGCTCTAAAAAATAGTTTTGAAAAAAGTTGCATCATTCAGTATTAAAGTTGCACAATGCAGTACGAAAGTTGCATCATATAACACAAAACTTGGCATCGGATTTTTTTGTCAAAACATACTCTTGTGGAATCTAGTTTCAAAGATCTCATCGCGAAGAATCCAACAGTGAAGACGGATCTGAATTTTGACGCGTGGTTTGAAAGATGTGACTTTTTAAAAATTTGAAAACCCAAAATAAATGAAGGTGAATATGTGTTTCCTTACTATATGACTAGTCTGATTCACATTTAATAAGGACAACCACATGCACTAGCAGACAAGAAAAAAGTACGCATGCATGTGTGGCAAGCGGCCGCTGGTTCTCTTCATCCAGCGCGCGCTTTTAAATTTCAGATTTTTTTTCACAGTACAAACACAAATACACTCACCCTACCCCTATAAGCACCCTAAGACACTCAGCCTGCAAATCATCTTGAATTGACAAAGTCGTCACAGACGATCACAGTTGTTTTAGTAGTCAATGGAAACATCTCCTTCCACTAAAGGCACATTGCCGAAAGGACTAAAATAAATCTAAAATGCGAACACTAGTGTAAGTCTAGGACTTGAATCCTGATGGACATTGTCCCCCTAACCATCCAGTTACAAATTGGTTCGCACCGTATCTTCTTTATATTTTTTAGAGGGAAAGGGCATTTACTCCGGTTACATTCCATCAAAAACGAAACCAAACCGAATACAACTTATTACAGCACGCGGGGGAAGATTGGTGTATCAACCCGTGCAACATTCAAGCTAAACAAAATAAAAAGAGTGCTCCTCACAAGGGAAGAAAACAAAGCCCCAACCATACAGGGGTGGAGGAGAAGATACAAGAACTAACGAGAGAACACGGGAGGACAACACATCTTTTCAACATGAAGCCAGGACCACCATGTTGTCAATACCCATCCATCCTCCCGCCTTCCTCAAAGAGTATTGCAGCCACAACTCATGTTTCCTCAGTCGGGCTCTGGCCGAAGCAGCGGGGGTGGTCATCTGGCAACCTCCCATAGAGACAATGTGATCATCTCCACACACTCTTTTGTGTTTCCTGTGTATAGGATTTTCCAAAGCGTGCAGTAACCCGCAATTTTCCTCAGGATCACCCGCACTCCAACCCAGGTGGCATTGTTAAAACACTTATCATTTCTGCATCCCGGATAGCCCAAAGAGTAGCTAAATTGATCATGTTATCAGCTTGCAGAGATTTATTCATGACCCACAGTTTAGCCACCTTCTCGAATGTGGCCGGGGGTATACACCCAGTGAGGGAGTGAACAATCCTCCAAATCTCCGCAACAACATCACACTAAAAACGAGGTGACTAATGGTTTCATATTCACAGCAAAATAAACAAGTAACATCATTTAACTATTGTCTTTTAACTAGTTCTCCCTCACCAGCAATTTGTTATGAGCCAGCAGCCACAAGAAAATGTGAACATTGGGAGGAACATGGATATGCCAGATATCAGGAATAAATACAGGGCTAATGCCTCTAAAGTTAACCATGACATACATAGATCTAACAGAATATTTACCATTAGATTCAAGATTCCAAATTAAAGCATCATCCTCGTCAGAAATTTTGATAGATTTAGTAATACTAACTAGGTCAAACCATAAAAGTAGTAATCTATTGTCCACACTGTCGGTGTACAAAAGTAGGGGCCCTTTTGTACCCCTTTACTTGTGCACGGGCAGTCGTAGCCACGCCTGTGGCCGGGCACAGCAGGGCAGAGGAAGCGAAGATACAAGGTTGCCGAGGCAGCACCCAAGCTAGAAGCATAAAGAGCAAAGGGACAAGATGGGCTTCCCACGACAAGAGCCTTGCCGGGACGGCCTGCATGGCCCCGGTAAGAGCCTTGCTGGGCAACTTGCCCAGCATCATCAAGACCGCCACCCTTGAGCCTGAGAGTTATGACGCCATCGACAATGTCAGGACCAAGTCCCGGGAGCGCCTGCATGATGGCGTGCAGATCTTTGAGAAAACCAAAGACCTGTAGGCCTAGATGAGCACCAGAAGACGATAAGGGCCTTGCCGGGGGCATCTGCCGGGCCGAGGCCAGGCCCGCACTTACCAAAGCTTCGCTACCCCGTGCCCGTTCCGACATGGCGACCGGCCTACCAACTAGGCATGCACTTGCGTGGCAGCATGCAGCTTCTAGGCCACCCAGCCAAGCACCTGCGTGGTGGCATGCAGATCTTCGTGAGGACCCTGCCATCGCACCAGCTCAGCAGCCAGCCAGCCAGCCTGGCGCTGCATGCCTCGTCACCTTGGACATGCATCGAAGAAAGGCGAGGCGGCGATGGACATGACGAGCTCCTTTAT